ATATATATATATATATATATATATATATATATATATATATATATATATATACACATATATATATACATCTATATATATATCTATCTATATATATATATATATATATATATATATATATATATATATATATATATATATATATATATATATATATATATATACATACATATATACACTGTAGTACCAATTGAGATCCCCATATAATCTGTTTAACACTTAAATCACTTCAAGAATTTGCATATTTTATTACAAGAACTTGCATAAAAGTTTTGTTCATAAAAAAAAACTAATGTCTGGCTTATTTTAACATTTTTAGTTAAATTATAAAATAGCATTTATTCTGAAAACCTCTGAAGCCATTTCATGTCAGTTTCAAATATTTTACTTTGTTATGTTCAGAACATACTATGATTTATTTTACATTTTGCTTCAAAACATTTTTATTCAAAATATTCAAACTGATCTAATCTAACTGATGCCATTAAGTTGAAATATTTATAATATTACATATGTTTTAATATTAGAATATTTTGACGCAACAGATGCCGAATGTAAACAAAAACAAAAAAAAAGAAATCATATTCTAAATGCACTGTGAGGGCTAAAATAAAATACTATTTAATGCTGCTTTGTTTTCTTAAACACACACATACATATACTGAGCAGACAGTATGTATTTGTCATGAGTCAGTGTGTAATGATTCTGGAAGAGGCAGAAGAATTTAATGCTCAGCAGAGGAAAAGATTGAGAGAGTCCTATAAACACTTGACAACTGCTATTCACATCACGCAACATTGAAACTATTTATGTGGAAGAGTTTTTTTTCCGCTGTCGTGCCTGGCAAAGTTTCATTTGCATCTACCTAATTCGGTTTTATCTCACGAAAACACTAGTAAAGTCTAACTACCATATGGGGCTCCATGCTAATATAACTTTTAAACAATGTACAAATCTAAAGCTCGTTGTCAAACACACATAAGTATTCTTTAAAGGTGCCCTCAGTCAGTTTTATTGACGTTGCGCCGGTCGATATATGGCAGCCGTGTTGGACTTTCTGTTACAACATTGTAAAGCTCTTCGATTCGCAGTCAGACGTGATTTGTTTATTCATTGAGTAAAATAACCATTTACCGGAGGGTCACTAAGGTAGAATTAGTACACACTGTAAACAATGTAATGACAAAAAGTCAAGACAACACATCTTTTTATGTTCATTCATTCATTCATTTTCAGCTTAGTCCCTTTATTAAACTGGGGTCGCCACAGCGGAATGAACCGCCAACTTATCCAGCATATGTTTTACACAGCGGATGCCCCTCCAGCTGCAATCCACCTCCATGAAGCATCCATACACACTCAATCTCAATTGATTAAGTATTGGTTTAAGTAAAATGTTTGTATTTGGCTACGTCCAAATTTGAAATAGTTACATACTCATCATATGTAAGTACACCCCTCACAAATCTATCTTTTACATTAATATTTTGAATAGGACCCTATACAATATTATATTTGTGCACATACATTAGATTAGTCAGTATTGAAGCCAAATCTTGAGCTAATCTATCAAAATAACTTACAATAACGGTTCAAAAACTAGTACAGCCAAATATATATGGTATAGAAAAATATTGAATACAAACTTTTAAAAAAAGAGGAAAATTCAACAGTAGCAAAACAAATAATAAAATTATAATTAAAAATGTTGTAAAAATGTTGTAGGCTGTATTTTTTTGTCATATTTTGCTTGAATTTAATTGTATTATTTTTCAATTTCTAAATATGTTTGATGACTAAAATATTATTTTAATAAATATATCTGTTTAATAAATCTGTTTTTTTAATGCACTAAAATACATTGCCTATATTGACTAAGAAATTAATAAAAATATAAATATATTTTCAAAATGGGCTGTTCTCAATTATGCTGAGCACTGTATATATAATATATATGCATAAAATATATTTAATTATATATAAATAAGATAATATTGTTTTTTAATTCCATTTAAAAACATTGATAGCATTGTGTTCCGTTTAATGCTAAATGACAACATTTTCATTAGTTTGCAGAATATCATTTTTTTCCCTCAAATATATAAAACTTTTTACTGAAACACCGGCCTGATCTCACAAGAAAGAGTAACTAGTTTACATTCAGTCTTCAGAGTTCAGTCTTATGAAAATGTACGTGGCACCCCACCCACCCCCCAAATCCAACCGTCTTTGGGGTATGAGCAAATTGCTGCAAAGTGAAGTTTATTTATAAACTACTGTCGAGAGGATCATGTGCTTATGATTGCATGCAGTCGGTCCCGCATTATTTATTTTATATGAATTCATGAATCAGACGATTCCTAAGCCTCTATAATCACTCTAAGTTCCATATAACAGCCATCCTCTTTTTTAAGAATCCCCCCTTCCACCCCTACTCCTCCTCCTTTACTAGATGGGTGGCACGGTGGCCCAGTGGTTTAGCACTGTTGCCTCACAGCAAGAACATTACTGATTCTACTTTTTACCAAGCCAGTTGACATTTCTGTGTGGAGTTTACACGTTCTCTCCATGCTCACGTGGGTTTCCCCCGGGCCCCCTGGTTTCTTCCCACCGTTCAAAAACATGCAACTTAAGTTAATAGACTAATCCAAATTGGCATTATAGACATGCTCCAAGTAAGTAGTTATCTCTTAAGAGCAATCACTGTCTGTTCATTAGCCACTATCGCAGGGGAGTTCTCGAGATCTACCTGAGCTCAAACTCCCCTCTAGCCTTGCAATTGGGAGGGAGCCCCGAGCTCGAGGATCTTATGAGCTCAGGGGTCTCTCCTGAGACAGCATGCCAAACAAACTTTAGAAACAGTCATCAGCTAAGTTTTAACTCTTCAAATTGTACGGATGAGATTGTAAAAATTCATACGAACTAGCCACTAAATCAAAAAGTTGCCACGAGATAGCGTTGGAAACACATAACTATAAATCATAACTCCAGAAAAACTGAGAGATTTCAAGTGGTCTCAGATTTGTCCATAGCAGTGTATTTATAGTTATTTGTTTTGTGGTAAATTGAAACAGAAAACAAAACAGAGCAGACTTGGACATATGAATGTGGCAAATGTGACAGATGTGATGTGACAGTATGATCAAAATGTCTCTTTCTCTCTGTCTCGTGTGTGTGTAGATGTGCGAGGTATGGGAGTGGTGGCCGGCGCAGTGGTCGGCGTCTCATTCGGTGTTCTGCTCCTCATTCTCATCATCTGGCTGGTTTTCCGCAAGAAGGAGAAGAAGAAATACGAGGAGGAAGAGACGCCGAATGAGATCAGGTCAAAACTTTGAATTCATTAGTCACATTTTCTGTTATATTTCATCTGCAACAACAATGTGAACTTCTATAAAGACGAGTTTGGACATTCAATTCTGAATGCATAGTTAACCAAAGACCTGAGGAGATTTCTCTGCATCACAGACTCGTGAGTGGTAGATTAACCTGCTTCTGAATCTACAATAATGAAGGAAATTAAATATGGATGGAATGTTGAGATGATTGACCGGCGACGTAACTAAGCAACATAACGAGTTTTAATAAGGAATTGAAACTTTGCTAAACCCCGCCCTCTTTAGTGACTGTTCGCTGTCAAGCTTTCGTGCCTGGCACGTCTATTACAGTATGTATGTGCTGGTGTCAGACATTATCAGGGATATAGTTAGTTATTTTTGGCGAACAGGTGAGATATCCAAGAGAGCCAGACAAAAAAGGACTGCAGTATGCATTACAGGGGTATATTCATGACATAAAAGCAACCCAGGCTCATTCTGAAAACGTAGTCCCGTGGACGTTTCTGGAGACCGCAAAATACGTCCCGGGAGGAACGTATGGCTGCATTTTATTTTTTTTAAGAGAACGCTAAGGGGTTGTGTGACGCCGTTCCCTTTCGCGCTTGCCGGCTGATCGCTTACCTACGTGTGGAGGGCTTTTCCGCTGCAGTCAGTTTTTCCGGTCAGCTCATCGTGTGCGTCGGCGGACTTCAGATGCACAGAGGAGGAGTTGACAAAGGCGTCCGGGGAAGAGCGGTTCCAGAAACCAGGTAAGACAAAAACAGAATCCAAAAAATAAAGCGAACGAGTTCATAACGGGGTGAAAACGTGGTGAAATCCAAAAACGTTGTAAAAAAAATACAGAGGGCTTTTATTTTTCTAGACGGCTTTTCTAAATTGTTGCTCCGGTTTAGGGAAGTGATCGGGCGGGTGGGTCAATCGGTAAAACTGGTTGGGTTCAGGGAAGGAGGAGGGTGGGTCAGCCGATTGGCCGGTCGCACAGTCAATCATTCATTCAGTCAGAGACGGTCGTTCGACAGCGGCCTCTGGTGGGTTGATGCGAGAACAGCGCGGGCGCGAACGGCCCTCGCGAGAGACGTTCGAGATACGAAAAAGCGCACACAGCGGCCTCTCGCGGATTCGCGAAAACAAAAACTGCACAAATATGTACCTCCCGGGATGTATTTTGCAGTCTCCAGAAACGTCCGCTGGACTACGTTTTCAGAATGAGCCTGGGTTGCATAAAAGGCAACCAATTAGAAAATAATTTAATCAAAACTGAAGGTAACGTTAGCCTAGCCACCTCATACGCTGACCATTCAACAGCTTAGTTCATGCACAGCAGGAGAGGTGACATTTACAAATAATCTAATCATTACCATAACGGTAACACTTTATAGTAACTACACACTATAAATCCTTTATTTAGCAATAGCAAATTGTGAATTTATTATCTGTTAAGCATTAACTCTACATTAATAAGCGTTAGTAAGCAGTTTATAACTGCAGCTACAAATGCTGTATTCTTGACTTACAAACATACTTAAAATGTGCTTAATAATTGTATTTTCATGCTTTGTTAATGATTTATTTTCATTACTAAATTAAGTATTGCATTTTTTAAAAACCAGTTTTATTTAAGAGTAGATGAGGGTTTTTAGGATCATTCAGAATGAGTTAGTAAATTATTAATAAATTATTGAAATCAACATTTAAATGTCTTATTATTCAGCCATATATCAATGGTTACTATGTGTGTTAACCCTTAAAGACCGAAACAATGAAATAAAGTAAGTATTTATTAAAATTAAAATAAGTATTGTTCTTAAATGTTTAATAACTTTTGATCCGCTGACGACCCGATCCCTACAATTCAAAGATTGGCATAAAGAAGAGAGTCTCAGCTTTCCATCGCTGTAAAACATTACATTCACGGACGTGATGAAGTGTGGTTACGTCCTCACATTTTGACAAAGGAAAGCTCGTGGCTTGTGTCTCGTTACAAACCAGACATGATGCATTGATCAATTGTCCCTCCTCCATGCCCAGATTGGTTCAAACTCGCTCTCTCTCAACCAATAAGCATAGGTTTCGCTTTGTGGACCAGCAATTAGCAATTTGAACAACCCGAAATGGTATTTGACAGGGTGCGTGCGACGTGTCTGAAGAGCGAGGAGGGATGCGGTGCAGAGGAGTGAGAAAGGTGTGCGACATATTTGAGGATCGGGAGGGAGACGAGCAATTTGCGCGAGATTACCATTCGTTTGCGCACCCATTGCGCTTCCATTCGTATCTCTGTGCATTTGCGGGAGACTTCCGGGAGACTTGGGATGTCTGGAATGACCTCCCGCCCTACTAATAATTCTCTCTTCATATAGCCGTATGCCTATTACATACTGTATCCATAGAACACTGTGATATAGCCGGGCTCTGATCGTATCGCTTTCTCACTACAATCGATCCGCTCCAGAGTTTGTTTCAAGACCACCTCATTCAGGCGATCTCGGATTGATTGTTTTGGCGCGGATCCGAGCGTGATTGCTGGATTCACATATGCCAAACTAACCGCGCTAACTGGGTGAACGAGACAGGTTCCCAAACAAAAGTCTAGGTGTGAAAGCACCCTAAATCCCCAAAAGACCGATGAAAACTTCAGTGAATTGTAGCATGTGACATGGACATGAGGGATATAAATGACTGAAAAAGAGCTGCGGGTGAAGTATATTGATGGCAAGTGCTTAGATTGTGATCATATCTTGGTTTTGTTCTGTTGATATGTCATTTCAAATATCCGTAGCTTGAAACAGATGGAAATAAGACTGCTTTTAGTATGACTACTATGGCGAGAGCTTAAACGGAGCAGTGCTTATATTATCGATCACCAAATAGAAAAAGACAGCTGTGAAACATAACCTGCTCGTTCAATTTTTGTAGGAAACACAGTTTAGATCTTTTTAGGGTAAGAGGTTTGTGAGTTATTGCCGTCTATGACTGTGTCAGGAAAATCAAAACAAAACCAACTTAACCCCGCTCTTTTAGCGCCCCTCACAGAGCTTGATCCACGCTGGCATTTCTCCCCTTGGGTTTTAGGTTTTGAAAAGGGAAAAAACCCACCACCCTGTCTAAACTTTAAGGATACCGGGTGTCAGATTTGCACAATCCATATGCACAGCGCTTTGGCTTGTTTCCCTCGCTCGAAAGCTTGACAGAGTTCCTGCACCTAGCTACAGTTGCTAAGCCACGATTGGTGTCTGGCGGTTTTTGGGTGTGGCTTAGCGAAGGGCCAATTAGTGTGTCCCAAATTTTGCATTCTCTCCTGTTACACACTTTAAAGTATCTACTTTTTCTTCACCAAAAAATTCATAAGTATAGGATAAGTATACGAATTGGGACACACTATACTGCCTTCAGGACAGTCTTCATAATACATCACACAGCTGTTATTTAGGCTTACTGTATGGTGACAGAACTTTGTTGTTTGTGCTCACATGAATAATGCAGCCACAAACTACGGCTGTATCACTGAATTATGCACACACACACGCAAACATAGTTAAGCTCTACACGGGGCCATTCCTGTGCACACTGTGACTGTCGCATCACAGTAGGTCTCTCCATTCATCTTTAATTGCAAATGTGTAGCCAGAAGCACAAATTCATCTTGATTTCATTTATACGAATGTGACTGAACTTTCTTGCACACTGTAAAACCCAACAGTCAACTTCATCGAATGAAATGAGTGTAGTTAACTCAAAATTGGCTGAAAGTTAATTCTACTCAAATGGAAAGAGTTCTGAATTCTGAAGGTAAAGATTTTAATAAATACCTCATTACTTTAACTTAAGTTTGCACTTGACCTTGGTGGGGACAAGTGAATTAAATACACACATATATATATATATATATATATATATATATATATATATATATATATACTGCTATTAAAATATATTAATAATTAATCCTCTTTTCGTGCAAATTAAATTAAGTGACTATTGAGTTTTAGGCCCGATTTTAGAGAATCGGGTGGTTCGAAAGACCAAAAATTGTATTATTATTATTATTATTATTATTATTATTAATATTATTATTATTATTTTCATGGTTTCCACTACATTCATTCTTCCATGGCAGGGCGCCACGCCAAAATTAATCCCGCCATGGCTACATTACAGCTTTCCATTCAAAACATTCAGTCGTGTTTTTTAATAGCGGGTTTTTATTATTATTATATTAAATTAACATTTAAAAATATTATAGTAAGCAATTTGACAAAAAAGTTGGAAATATTTTTTGGTACATCAAAAAGTGTGGTTGTGATAACCATCCGCCAAGATAATCCAGCAAAAAATAGTTATTTAAACGTCACTAAAATGCAATATTTATACCTCATAATTAAATAGAAAATGAGACAAATAACTGCAAAAAGGTTCAGTTTTTCAGAAACAAAAGTCACGCCTTTTAATAAGGTGGCTACAGGTCTGATGGGGTAATGTTAAAAAAAAAAAGTTTATTAATGATAAAGATTTAACTGATGAAGAAGAGAGTTTAAATATAGTACAAATATAACATGTCTCATTTATCAGTATTATGCCTATACACAGGCTCTATTTTTTCTGACAAATTGTTTCAACTGAAATTGGACATGCTAACTACTCTGAGAGATTAGGAGAACTGACCGGGATCATATACGTTACTTTAACGTTAGCTGTTTATTCTGCAGTTAGTTTTCAGGGCATATTATTTCTGATAGACTGCGACATTAACAGCATTATCTTGATAGACTCATTCAGTAGTGAACTTGCATTTACGGTATGTGACTTTAACTTTCGTCAAAAAAATAAGACCTTATGTCCACCTTTTTTGCTGCAGTCTTCCTTACTTGTGTGTCACCCAACACACCATAGTCAGCAAGGGATGAAAACACTCTAACTGCATTTGGCGCTGCTTGTATCTGAGAGCAGCCACAGCCTCTCACATGATAGCAGGGAAAGGCACAGCCAATCAAAATGCCCATATATGCGTTTTGGGGGCGGGAGGACTCAAGAAGAGAACATAATTTAACCCTTTCAGTGTGTCTAGCTCTCTATGGTCTAGGTTAATGTTGCCTGTGCAATTTTTATTTATTTATTTATTTTAAATGGATTAAATCACCTCCATCCACCCTAAATCTATGCCCCTGGTTTACTGAAATGTAAACGATTTTATTATTGTGGGTAGTCTTTGACAATTTAAAGCAGCCAACATACCCAGACCTTCACCCCTCAGTCTGAGGTCTGTCTATCTGAGAGTAAACCAACTCCTTTTCCTTTCTTTCTGTAGGGAGGATGCAGAAGCCCCTAAAGCCAAGTTGGTGAAACCGAACTCCTTGTCATCATCTCGCTCTGGCAGCTCGCGCTCCGGTGCTTCTTCAACACAGTCCATGGTGCACAACAGCGTCCCCCGAGGCCAAAGACCACGGCCACCCGCTGTCGCCGCCCTCAAGGAGAACGGACAGCCCCACGGCTTCCCACAATCACCCCCGGCCTACACACAGGTCGTGCCCAAAACCCCAGAACCACCCGTCACCCCAAAATTTAGACCTCCTGTTCCTCCGGTGGTCATAGGTGTCCCGCCGGGAGTCATGGTTCCTGCTCAAAGCAAGGCCTTTCAGACAGTGTAGAGAGTAAAGAAACGCAGCCTGATGCGGGCTTCTGTACAAGACACACACAATGACTCTTCCAAAAGATGCAACTACAATTGGAAAACAAATACACACACACACACACACACAAAACACTATAAAGTAAAAGCATAATTAATAAAATCACTTATATAAAAATGTTGAATGCATACCGTATTTACAAGGGAAATTACAAAGTGCTTGCCCCCTTCTGAAGTATTATAAGGTCAAAAAATAAAGCTGAAGAGGAGAGAGGAGCTAAAGAATGTTTCATTCTCATTCTTTGGTTCGGTCTCCTTGTGTTTTTTTCCCCTATTTTTTGTTTTTCTTTCTCTTTTTTTGAACACTTGAAGGCTTTGTGGGCGGTGGGGTGGAAAGATTTCCCCAAGTGCAGTTTATTTATTTATTGAATCAGAGAGGCTAAAGGACCAAGGACAGGCTGAGTTTATGAAACATGATGGCGAGGGAAGGACCGACCAACCGAAGAGAAATGAAGGGTATTATCTAAAAACCTGCTGTTGATGGCTCTGGAAAAACGAACAGCCCGTCTCATTCGCATTTTTTCCCCGGAAACCAGTGAAAGCACTGAACATGCTTCATACACCAAAACCCAAAGGCAATATTAATTGCCTTTCTTAACAAACCACGAATAAGGAAACTTTGAAATGAATGGCTCCCGATGGACTTTCCAGCATGCGGTTGACGTGTCTTTGATGTTGCAGCACAGAAAGATTTTAATAGTTGAGTTGTCATATAACACACTGTTGGGCGAATTCACTGAATGATTGCTCTGTTGGTCAAACACTACATGTAATACAGTTTAATTGGTATCCTTGTCATTCGTTTTTGCACAAACTCCCTTTTTTCATTTGTAAATAAGGGTAATTATTGTACCTTTTAATTAAAAATCAATGCCACTGCCTGCCACAGTGGTTTGCTTTTATCGCCCACGATAAGTGGACAGTAAAAGAAACATCGCATAAGAAATTTTCCATCAAATGATGGAGGACTTATTGTACAGTTGAAGTCAGAATTATTAGCCCCCTTTTATTTTTTATTATTTTCTTCTTTTTAAAATATTTCCCAAATGATGTTTAACAGGGCAAGGAAATTTTCACAGTATGTCTGATAATGTTTTTTCTTCTGGAGAAAGTCTTATTTGTTTTATTTTGGCTAGAACAGAAGCAGTTTTAAATTTTTTAATCTACATTTTAAGGACAAAATTTTTAGCCCCTAGCTATTTTTTTAGACAGTCGACAGAACAAACCATCATTATATAATAACTTGCCTAATTACCCTAACCTGCCTAGTTAACCTAATTAACCTAGTTAAGCCTTTAAATGTCACTTTAAGCTGTATAGAAGTGTCTTGAAAAAGATCTAGTCAAATATTATTTACTGTCATCATGGCAAAGATAAATAAATCAGTTATTAGAGATGAGTTTTTAAAACTATTGTGTTTAGATATGTGTTGAAAAAAAAACTTAATAAATGGGGGCTAATAATTCTAATAATTCAACTGCATATTTCAATGTGCTCTGAAGTGCATTTTGGAGTGTTCACACTTGGCAGCTTGGTTTAAATTTTGGTGCCGTTGTTCAGTCAGTTCTGTTCAATTGAATGAGTATGAATGCTGCCATTTAAACAGTGGTGCTCACCAAACAATAGACCAAGCCCACAAATCTACTTCAGAATAAACACTGGTGAGGTTCATCTGAAATAGGAACTCAATATGGACCACAAACAAATCACTGCATTCAAACAAACCATAAACAGGATGTCAAACGATGTCATCACAAAAAGTGAGCATTCTCCAGCATACCTGGTTTTCTCGACATAGTTTTAATGGAATCTATTACTGTTAACACAGGTGTCAGAAGCACATTACTTTGAGCAATACTTTCCTTTCAAGGAATATTCAATTCATGTTTCTTTCTATAGCTCTTTTACGATGTACATTGTGTCAAAGCAGCTTAACATAGAAGTTCTAGTAAAGTGAAACTGCGTCAGTCCAGTTTACAGAGTTCAGTTTAGTTCAGTTCAGTGTGGTTTAAATTTCACTGCTGAAAGTCCAAACACTAGAGAAAATCCATCGGTGTCCAGCTCCACAAGTCCCAAACCAAGCATGCCAGTGCTGAGGAACATAACCTCACTAATTCACAAAAGTGAAGGGAAAAAAATCTAGAGAGAAACCAGGCTCAGTTGGGCACGACCATTTCCCCTCTGGCCAAATTTCTTGTGCAGAGCTGCAGTCTAGGCACCGGATACTTTCCTTGCAATATTTTGACTGCTTTACAAATTTTATAAGCTCCTTGTTAGTTACTATTATCAAATGTATTCGCATACAACAAGCTTGTTAAGCCACAGCATTACTTTAGATGTTCATTAAGTTTAGTCTTTAAAAAGAACAGTACACTCAACAAGTAAACCAGGACCAAATGTAATATTTTCTAGACCAAGGATGCTTTCACACTAGCACTTTTGTTCTGCACCCGGGTCCGTTTGAAATCATAGTACTGTACATTTAGCTAATGTTAACGTGTCTTCTGAACTTAGGCAGAAAAGAAAGAGGCAGTCTGGGGTACGGTTCATGCGAACTCTGGTACGGTTCACTTCTGATGTGAATGCAATCGTACCAAATAACGGAAGTGAACCGGCAACTGTACAACAAACAAATCATTTTCATAACATTCATATACAGTTGAAGTCAGAATTATAATCCCCCTTTTGATTTTGATTTTCTTTTTTATATATATTTCCCAAATTATTTTTAACAGAGCAATGAAATTTTTCACAGTATGTCTGATAATATTTTTTCTTCTGGAGAAAGTCTTATTTGTTTTATTTCGGCTAGAATAAAAGCAGTTATTAATTTAAAAAAAAAACATTTTTGGGACAAAATTATTAGCCCCTTTAAGCTATTTTTTTCGATAGTCTACAGAACAAACATTCGTTATACAATAACTTGCCTAATTACCCTAGAAATTATGAGTTAAGCCTTTTAATATCACTTTAAGCTTTATATAAGAGTCTTGAAAAATATCTAGTAAATTATTATTTACTGTCATCATGGTAAAGATAAAATAAATCCGTTATTAGAAATAAGTTTTTAAAACTATTATGCTTAGAAATGTGCTGAAACAATCTTCCCAGAACAGAACAAAAATTGGGAAAAAAATAAACAGGGGCGCCAATAATTCAGGGGGGCTAATAATTCTGACTTCAACTATATGTGTGTGTGTGTGTGTGTCTTACCTTAGTGACAAGCGGAACAAACACAGTGATAATTTCTTGACTCCTCTAAAAACAGCTTCTGCAGACACTGTGTGATGTTCTGAATGTGGAAACGAGTCGCTTTCTATATGTCCAAATCCAAAAAAGTAAAAGCAGAATAGTTGCGATGTGGGGACGTCTTTCCATTTCGGCGATTTGCTTTCGTGACAGTCACCTAGCAACAGCCGTAAACAAAACAGCAGCTCGATGATGCAAGCGTACCGGGAGTCAGAAGGAAAAAAGACAGTGTGAACACAAACCAAACGGAAAGGTGGCAAGGGGGGACAATTGAACTTGGGTACGGTCCAGGCAATTGAACCAAGTGTGAAAGCACCCCAAATGAACCAAGAGAAATGAACTTTAAGTGTGAACACACTGTTATTGCTGTTTCAGGTGCTTTGAATTTCCCAGTATATTAGTGCAAATCTTTCAGTGTAATTGTTTCATGCAAAACTATAATCTGATTTGCATAATTCCACCGAATCCAATGTGACCTATGGAAATAAACAACACCATCGGTGAATGCAACTGATTCTTGGTGAATTCTCCCAGTGTGTCAACGAACATGAATTGTTGCAGTGAGTTCTGTGTATATACAGGGAGTGTTACATCCTCGACAGAAAGTCTGCGGTTTGGTTTCAGATGTCGTCCTCAACGCTTTATGGACAGTTTCAGTTTGTATTACATACCGACCATGGTATATTTATTACAGCTGTATTTCCAATGATACTAAAGCCAAAATCTGTCACAAATACTATGAATGTGTATGTCAACGGTAGTTGGTTTTATTTTATTGTTTTCCTTCTTTTCTACGATACCCAGTGGTACTACGTAATAGCATATGATGCACAAGTAACTTTCAAATATAATCTCACAGTACTGTGGACAAGTAAACGAAAGGGAATGCTATAACAGGGACTTCTGTACAGAGCGCGAGTGAAATATGCGTGTGCGGATTTGCCGTACTCCCATTTGAGTTCATGTATGCACCACGGTACCGTCCGAGGACTCTCCTAGGACCCTCTAACAACAGGCTGTCTCAAGATGGCTGCCTTTTTGTGCCAGCCGCCCCGCAGCTTCCTCCAGCAAGTGCTGTCAAAACCCTCTCCATTAGCGGTGTCTCAAAGCCCCTGGGAAGACCTTGCTTGGTGCATTTGTGAAATTCGAAATGGACAAGTTGCCTGTTTTGTGTGCCTTCACAGTGAATTCTTCCCCCGAGATTGCTTTTGTCCTTGGTTCTTCGCAGTGTACCAGACGAAAAAAAAAAAAAGGGAAGTCATGTGTAAAACGGCCCCCGTCAGCGGAGGCAGAGCTTTCTGGCACAAAGAGGCAGGTCAAACGCAGCCACACAAAACAATGTACACTCTGTAGTCATGATGCTGTTTTATATTGTACATACAGATAAATATACGCACACAATATCCTTTAAGTTATCGGTTGAGATTGGGGTTATAGGCCATAATAAAGATGTAGATGAGGTATTATGCATTTTCTGAGAGTAATAATTGGTCACTGTAGCCCCTGACCCGCTAAGCTCCCTTTAATAAGTAAAATCATTTCCTTCTTAATGGCTACTTGTATATCTGCCATTGATGGACCTTAAGAAATTATTTAAGAGAGGACAAGCCATAAGATGCAAGGAAGCAAGTATATGACTCAATTACCCAACGCTTCGCCCTTCATGTCGTGCCAATATAGAATAACCTTGTTCGTCATTCTTATCGGGTTGCAGTTGTGATTGAGTCTGTAATGTAGCCGAGCGCTGCCTATGCCAATTCACCGCCTTCCTGTTACCTTCCTCCAACAATTGTGTTTGATACACACCGATACGCTTCTTCCCAAGTGTACACAGTCTAACACGACCTTATAAATAGAAGCACACTTGAGAGGCGCTCTCCAGAGCCACATTCTCCACAAGGCAGTGTAGGCGTTGTTGTTGGGTGAAGTGTTGTCAGTAAGTGTGATGGATGGGCTGTCACGACGAGTGGGGA